GAATTATTTCTTTAAGGCACTCAGTGACTGAGCTATTAAGGCCAACGTTTGCACACTGACTTTTGCCCCCCCCCCCCCCCCCTGTATTAGAAATAATTTCCAAGAAATTTTGGAAACACTTTCACACGCTTTCATTTGGGTTGGTGCGATGTTCAAAATTCTTGTTGTAAATGGAAACCGAGCAATGGAGGACCTATACTTAGTTTAAATTGTAGTGTGGGACCCAAGTTAAAAATGCAAAACTCATTTAATGATAAATATATGATTGTAAGAAATTTGATTTTTTTTTTCCTATTCCTTTATCTTAAGATTCATAATAAGGAGTACCTACTTGTTTAAAATAGGTAAGGCACTATACAGATACTCAACTGCTATTGGTTTGATTTGAACAAGTTTTAACAACAACAAAAGCACTCTTCCATGCATTTTTGATAAACATTTACAAATTCGGCTGATGAGATTGATTCTGAATTCAACATTTTCTGCGTTATCTAAAATAAGAAAATTCTGTGGTTGGTTTAAGCCGTCCAAAGCTCATTTAGATAACACCAGGAAATGTCTTCAAAAATTGTAGACTATAAAACTGTGACTTTTGCAAACCTTTTGCAAATCACATTTCTCTAGAAACCCGTGATTTTGATAAAGCCCGTTTCATAACCGAGATATTAATTAAGGTTGATAACGCTTGAAAATTTTAAGCGCCTCTTAAACTAAACGGGTCCCTCATAACTAAACGGGGCCTCCTTTAAAAATTCCACCCATGAAGAATGCTGTAGCTGATGTTATCTGAAAGCAGAAAAATCAATTATAATTCTTGACGTAGTAAGATTGGTGGAACTGTATACACAGTTCCAATAAAGGAGGCCCCGTTTATTTAAAAGGGACCTATTTAATTTACGAGACGATTAACATGTTTGGTACCGTTCTAAATTAGCAAATAATCTCTTAAGTACAAAATTCTGTTAGCCTCTATTCTTCCCCTTACGTTTTCGCCCATTTCTTCTTCAAATATGCTGACACGAAGTTTTCCTTTCTATTGTATGATATTTCTCTATCATTATCTGATTACCCCACGATGTTTCAAGCTATTAGTTCAATTTCTTCTTGCCCTGAGATATCAATTGAAGAATTTCATCTATCTACGAACAGAGGTTGAGAAAAAACCCAGGAAAGGAATTAATATTCCTAAATTCGAGTAAAATTTAACATATTATCCTATTAGAAACATACTTGTTTGTTTATGCGACAATGATAAGACGTACTTGCGGCTGGGGACTTATGATTAAGTCATCATTAAACTTACAATTAAACCCGAAAGTTGCACAAATATGTAACTTTCGGGTTCTTTAGACTTACCTCTTTGAAATTGCGACCGGTAGGTTTCTACAGAAATTTCGATAGAATTTCTTGTCTAGAATGTGAATGAATAGATAAACCGGAAAGTCAGAATCTTGAATTCGTAGAAAGTAGGTGTGCCATGCCTGGGTGTTCCACCGTATATTATTTGGTAAATAAGCCTGATAAACTTTTTTTAACTAGTTTCGACACTTCTGGTTCGGACGTTGCCGTAAGTTTATTGAGATGCAAGAAAGTTAGTAAAAATATTCCAGAAGATACGTGTCACGTGATCAAGGAATAAGGTCTGTGGAGTGAGGGTACTCTCCAGTCGATCCAAATTGCCAAGAAACAATTTTATTCAGGTTATCATATTGGACTATTGCAATTTGGATTTTTGGATCGACCACTTTGACAAAGTCACCTCTGTCCACAGCACCCTGTCAAAGCAAATTCCGTTTGAAAAAGGGATATAATGAAAAGTTGCTTAATAGGAAACAACAAAATATGGTTAGTCCCTGCGAGTTTGTTCAAACAGAATGTTCGAGACTACAACTGCTACGTAATCGGCATAATACATGACAGAAGAGATTACAAGTAACATTAACCTTATTATACCGTTATATATGTGAGTATAATGTGGTCGGAATGGGGGTAAATCATATAAAAGTAAAATTTTGATTCCGTTAAATTTTAAGTTTTTAAATCTTATTGCCTAACCTCGTTTTCTTTTTAATCTGCAATTCGTTGGATTTAAGGTTTACCGATAGGCCACAGTATAACCACAGTAATACCCAATAGAAACTCGTGGGACGTGGAAGGATTTTTATGAGTCTGCAAATGCCGAGCTTAAGTATGCTAGTTTCCCTCATCCATTTAAGAATCTTAGTCATTGACGTATATACTTGTAAGATAATTGTCCTCGACCACGAGAAAAAGTACCACAGACTTTAAATCGCCATTTCTAAGAATGTCTACAGTTATAAACTGTAATTCTCAACTGTTTGGTGAGAGAAAATGTCTGGAATATATCAATTTATTACCTTTATTAACAGCTAGAAACCTGCTGGTCAAACCACAGAGCTGTGTTTGAGGAGATCTTCAATCAGCAATATCATTAATTCAACTATAACCTTTGAGAAACAGGGGGAGCTTAATCCTCCGTGTAATGATAACGAATTTATTAATATTTCATGATATTAATCACTTTCGACAAAGTTATGAACAGATAAAATCTGATAAAATAGATTAAAAAGTGGTAGATATGCCGTAGTTTAAAGCGATGAAACAAGTTAAGTATTTGTTGCTAAGCATCGACATTCGACAGGGTAAAATTAAGCTAAGATAACGTTCATTGAAGACAAATTTACGCACAAATCAAAATTCCGAAATCACACCTTCCTCAATTTAACCTTTTTCTACAACTTAGAAAAAAAACGCGATAATTCAACTCCATTTATGATTTGGGAGCTGGATTTGGCTACAAAATGAGGTAATTTTTTGGACAGTTTCCAAAGTTTTTTAGAGATTGCTGTGGTGATTTCATCAACCTGGGAATATATAATAGGTATAAAAGGTTTGTAACACAATCAATGTTATCGCCTTTTTAAGAAGAGACCTTAAAAATAAACGAAGCTAAAAACAACATGTTATCATAAACGCGTAGCACAACACAAAATGTTCTCATTTTAAAGTATGCTCTCATTATTATAATGCTCTTCTGAATATTTCCTATCAAAACACTTCAAATCTCCAAAAATATTCGAGAGGACGGCCAGATATTGAGACTATTATCAACGTGTCAATCTTGCAAAACGGAATTAACTATTTTGATCTGATTGCAAAAGATGCAAATAATTAATGTTTCAGCGATCGTTCACGTATTTAATTTTATTCTACATAGGCCAGATTTAGCCATATTAGAGTGAAGACCCTGTCCTCGTCCGTAATCACCAATAGACTTATAAATATGTGTCAAAATTGCGCTAACTTGCGAATTTCCAGATTCCGGAGAATTGAATCGTCCTAGTTCACCAAAATATCGTATTTCCAACCTCATTTGTAGTAATTTGTAGTGTATGACGGCATTATAAAGGTAGTACCAAAATATTCATTACATTTATCCCTTCGTTTAATAAGTTACTGTGCTGATGTCATGGCTGAATGAAGATGTTAGAAAGGGTGTGTCATATTCAGCAAGTTTTAATAAGTTTTAAGTTTTAATGAGAGTTAAAATAATCTTTATAAACAGATCCGTATTCCGACTCACTTTGTCTGCTTGAAAATTCTGTTTGCAAACTAACCAGCCATATCCGTACAATTATTTACACATTTTATGAACAGCTGCACTTTATAATAGTGTCTATTGAATTTGTTACAGATGTTGCAATGACGGTTTCTTTGAACGTTTCTTTACAAACCACATGTCTGCATCACACGCTTATAATCGCCCATTGTACTTATCATATATACTGTCTATAAGTCAAGTTGTTGTCGTTGGAATTTCTTGTTTTGTTGTTGTTTTGACCTATTAAAAAAAGATGTGTTAATAGATCTTTCTCACAGTGTCTTTAAAAGAAGAGACAATCAGATATTCATCATGAGACTAAGTAACAGTGGCCGACTATAACATCAGCTATATTATTTTCTCTTTGTACATATCGGCCATCGGGGATTACATAGCATGTATTACTGTATTAGACCGGTGGAGTTACATGAATCAGGTTTTTCAGACACGTGACAGTGGCTGACCAATCTGCGTCCAGCATAGACTCAGAGTCTCTACCACGTGTCAAAACAAATATTTCCTCTTTGTACATTTATTATAATTATGCCTCAGCGTGTGTTACGTCAGCGTGTGTTACTATTAGACTACTGTTTAATAGATCGCGTAGTAAACTTGACTTGAGTAGGAACATGTTATTATGTATTGTACGATGTAGGGGACTTGAATACCTTTGTGACAGAGCAACGCCCTTTGTCCGTAAGGTATTTTATTATATTATAGTAGTATCATACAACCACAAGTTACCTTATTATCATTATATACAAAGTTATAGAATAGGTAATCTACTATTATATATTATGTTCGGTTCATGTATATTCGGCTACCACTATATAACTGAAGATGGGAGGTAAACGTCAGACCGTCCTAAGGTCCAGACCCAAATTGATTGAAGACCTGGACAATTTCTGGGAAAATTGTCTGCAACTCTGATTTACTGTACCTGTTTTAAAATCTGCTTAAATTGGCAGTATTTAAAATGACTATACATATTACATATATTAATGATTTATTATTCCAACGACATAATAATCATATGTAATTATCATACCCGATGTATTGGTAGAATTGGGAACTCAAGACACGCCCATATGTCTCTACTCATCGACAGAATTGACACTAATCATATGTTCCCTTCGCAGAGCAAAATAATTTTATTACCATATTACGAACCCAAACTAAAGCCTAGTCTATACTCTATACCCTAGAGTACAACGCATTTACCGCCTCTCTACGTCAGCTGTAAGCACTACCAAAGACAAATAATAATAATGAATATAACGATAAGAATAACAACGTCTACAATCGTAGTAGTAATAGAGAGATATAGGCTGACTACTTATTATAGAGCAGCATCTACCGCCCCACGTGTGTCACGTACCTTCCCACGAGTTGAGGTTTTCTGAGGAATCCTTCCTGTGCTGTTGTGTGCTCCGAACTGTATGTTCCCAGTGTGGGCTGTAGCCAACCACCTTCCGGTTAATTGCCATCTTCATCATTGCCATGTCAACCTGTGTAGAATATACATGTGTTATTGTATACTGGGCTGGGTATTGTACGCGCCTGGGATATATGCAAGAATTCTCGTTGAATTGGGTTATAATAAAAACTGGTCACGTTCTCAAGTCACGCACCACTCGCAGCGGTGTTCTGGAGAACTGTATGATCTGCGTGTTTCTGAGACACAATGAATAAATTGTACAATATGTGTCGCGTGACGCGTACTAAGTCTTTAAGGAGAGTTTTTAACAATGTGTCCACAAGAATCGTGCAATTCAGAGTAATTCTATAAAATTTGCATGTCATCTATAATGTGTGTCGTATGAGATCAGATCGTGCGATCACTGCAGTTATAAAGTGGCGTGCGAATCAACAAACTGACATCTCACGACACTGTACTATCACGACACTGTACTATCATGACACTGTACTATAATGACACTGTACTATCACGACACTGTACTATCATGACACTGTACTATAATGACACTGTACTATCACGACACTGTACTATCACGACACTGTACTATCATGACACTGTACTATCATGACACTGTACTATCATGACCACATCCTGAATCCTGATGAGGTCTGGTACCTATCATGACACTGTACTATAATGACACTGTACTATAATGACACTGTACTATCACGACACTGTACTATCACGACACTGTACTATCATGACACTGTACTATCACGACACTGTACTATAATGACACTGTACTATCATGACACTGTACTATAATGACACTGTACTATCACGACACTGTACTATCACGACACTGTACTATCATGACACTGTACTATAATGACACTGTACTATCACGACACTGCACTATCATGACACTGTACTATAATGACACTGTACTATAATGACACTGTACTATCACGACACTGTACTATCACGACACTGTACTATCACGACTCTGTACTATCACGACACTGTACTATCATGACACTGTACTATAATGACACTGTACTATCACGACACTGCACTATCATGACACTGTACTATCATGACACTGTACTATAATGACACTGTACTATCACGACACTGTACTATCACGACACTGTACTATCACGACACTGTACTATCACGACACTGTACTATCACGACACTGTACTATCATGACACTGTACTATCACGACACTGTACTATCATGACACTGTACTATCACGACACTGTACTATCACGACACTGTACTATCACGACATTGTACTATCATACTTTACTATCATGACACTGTACTATCACGACACTGTACTATCACGACACTGTACTATCATGACACTGTACTATCACGACACTGTACTATCATGACACTGTACTATCACGACACTGTACTATCATGACACTGTACTATCACGACACTGTACTATCACGACACTGTACTATCACGACACTGTACTATCATGACACTGTACTATCATGACACTGTACTATCATGACCACATCCTGAATCCTGATGAGGTCTGGTACCGAAAAGCAAAACCACTGGTGACAATTACTTTTACTGAAGCAATTTAGAGATGACTAAACAGTAAACACACGGCAAGAAACAATAAAGAAATAACACTCTTAAAAGTGAACTGAGGTGGATTATAAAGGAGCAGCCATCTGTGATGATGATTTAATGTGCGGCCCATGGGAGAGCCGCGCAGTCACTTAAAATTTCTGTTTTCGACTATTTAGCTCCTATTGTCCCTTTAATATAAATATTTACAAGTTGCGTCATCCAGCGGTGATCTCATACGGTATATTATGTAAAATTAAGTCAGGGGCGAATACAATCCCAGATTGTTCTGGATCATTTCAAATCTTATCATCTCCGCCCGGCTGCTGGATCAGCTGATCAATGTCTGAAACACACCCTCAGCGGGTCCGATCAGTTTCAATGAGCGGATAACTACATTGCTGTTATTAAATTTAATAACTCATTAAATCTTGCTAAAACGAGACTAAAATCTGAAAATAACACGGCTGGTCCCAAATTAGCCAGTGTTCCCCTGCGTGTTGCTAGGCAACAGCAGGTACAGTCTCATCTAGAAAGTTTCTTGCTCTTAATCGAGTTTAACAATGTAATTTAGAAGCTTCCCTCTTGTGCAATTAATTATCCATTAAGCCCTAACCTAACCCGTGGCCGTGTATGGTTGGGAATATTGCTTTTGCTTTCAGGTTTTGAAAGATCGGTACTGCCAGCGCTATTTTAGCGTTCAGGTAATGGTCAACATTCTACCATTTCAAAATTAAGACGGAGGGACCAAATTTTTGAAATTTGTCTACATTCGAATTTCGGAATTCTGTGGAAGAATAACAGAATAGATATCTAATTGAAAAATTTTGCGTCGCGTGGTAACCGTGCAGGCGTGCAAGTTAGCCTTTGAGCTTTGATTATCTCTTAATCTAACACGTGATGGTAGAGCTGTAAGGGGTACACAGTGCATCCGTGTAAAATTAGTGTTTCTAGGTTCAAAACTTCGTGATAGTTTTATCAAAATCAAACGTCTATTCGAAGTAGTCGCTGACTAACAAAAGGTCAACCCCTAAATTTTTATAGTTATATTCGGTAAATTATCGAGACCTAACAATTAATTACGAATATGCAAACAAACAAGGTGGTAGTGAGTAATTAAAAGCACGCACTGGTAATAGTAAATAGTAATACTGTAATACCGAGAACTGCGTGTACTTAGACTCGCGATCTGCTGAACCAAACATTGCCTACTTATGCTGAGTCACTATCATCATGCATCACCTTCTCATTAGCTTAGCGACCCTTCGTTATGTATTGTAAATGGTTTCACATACACAGTGATACCGTGGAATTGGGCCATTAGCTGTTGCCTTTATACGACCGTATCGTGGCCATACAAAGAGCGTCTCGAGGCTATTTATAGTGGCCGTAAATAGGCCATAGCTAATTTCCCAACATTCATCTATAAAGATAATGGGTCGAAATAAAATCAGTGGTTCCTTAGAATCGAAATCAAAGAACAAACTAAAAATTGAGCTTTGATAAATTAGTTTAAAGTCTATTTAGGTCAAATACAAGAAATAACTAAGCACGTGCGTGTTGCTCATGTAAAATGATCCTTGAATAATTAATGTATTCTCAACGCTACTGTAATTAACCACTCTATTAAAAACCCTCTATAAATACACTACATAACAAAGCTGAGCCACATCGGATTTTGCACTAAACTAAAAGCGCAGGCACACCGAACAATTGCAGCGGACAGAGTAACAGAGCGCTATTACTCTCCACTATGAGATCCTGAATAATGCTGTTGAGCACTTCCTTTCTATCTGGAAATACACAGCTAGATACAGCGCTCTTACAGAAAGTCTTCCGCGGAACCACTTTGCCGCTCTGTTAGGCACATAGCCTGTGTGGTCGGGTCTGTGTGTGTGTGTTGTGCAATATAAATTAGCGCTCAGAATTGATGATGATGGTGTACCTGTGGGTTAGTTTCAAATAATAGAATGACGATAGTCTCCGTGTATCGTTGGAGGGGGGTGGACCGGCCAATGCCATGCCATTTATTCCTCAAATTTTGGTTAAATTGGATCGCATTAAAGACAGGTAAACCTTGAATTGGAGTAAGAGTATGGTATCAGAAATATTTATTTTTCGATTTTGAAAATTTAAATAATTGATGCCCAGTTTGCCCATCTATTCCTCAAATGTTGGTCAAATTGGCATGGACATGGATGGGGTTGCCCCGGCCCCCCTACCCCAATGTTAACTGAGTAAAGCTACTGCAGTAGCTTAACTTTGACCTTGCTAACATTATTATACTGGGTCTGAAGAAAGAGTAGTAGCACGTCAAGATTTTACAACCGTGTCTGAAAAATGGAAATAGTGGAGTAGCACACCAAAGTTTAGCCTCTAGGTGTCTGAATACACATTACACATGGTGCAACTAGGGTGTTTTTATCATGCAGGACTCAGGAGGGAGCTGAGCAGTGAGCAGCGTACGAGAAGAGTCGACGATCGAAAGGTAAAAATGCCTTCATCAATCAGCAGGAACAATGGAGTTCCTTTGCAAAGAGAAGAATTCACACACGCAAAGGGAGCGTGTTCGTGAGCACAATTACCCGGGCTACTGCCAGTGCCTGAGCCCCTGGAGCTATTCTTATCAAGGATTGGTCCCCGACCAATTAGACACAGCTCAGACAACACCAGGGATCATTCAGTGTATTGCTCATTTTCTTTTCCTCGGCGTCCAGACGTAAAGAGATAAATTGAACGATTATGGAAATGAATGGTTGTTAAATATATCCATGGTTCGATTAATGTATGGGGCCTAATCGACGACGCTAAGCTTTCTAAGGCATGCCGTCTAATGGGCATTGAATATACCACAAGAAGTCTGCAGACACGAAATGTATAGTCGAACTCGTAATACCGATAATTCTCAGTTCTTAATAGTAATATAGAGGCCGTTATGCTTTCCAATGAATAAATTATGGTTTATGGCAGATGGCCATAGGCCAAATGGCTACAAATTACTCAAGATGATCAGGACACTCGAATGGCATGATCAACTCACAAAACTGATAGCCTTGGTTCAATATTGTATTAACTATTAAAACATGTCGGAATTGACTCAATGCATAATGCACGCGTCAATGTACAATGTACGTGCAGTGTTACCTTAAGCCAATCAGAAAAGCGTGATGGAATTCTTAAACCATTATACTAATTACCATTACCTCAACCTGTACTTATGCAGAATGCAGATGTTATTAAGCAATAGAAAACAAATATCCGTAAAAAACTGTTGTTGGCAGTGTTCGTCGATATAACTCTACTTTTTTCGCAAGATGTTAGTTTAATTATTTTTTTAATTATTTTCGTATAAAATAATCTATAAGTATTATTCTAATGCTCTATGTTGTTTTATTCCTGCATACATGATATATTAAAAATACTGATATCTGGATATTATCCGGTTGGAAGAGACAAGGACAAGTGAAACAAGGAAGTTAGGAGTAAGGGC